CATACAAAATGGGGGGAAATCATTTTTCTCATCTCTGCTCTGCCACAAATTATATTTATGATTACATTGTTTGCCTCCAACAAATTGATATCAAAATAAAAAAAAATAAGTGTATGCAACTGTAACCAGACAACACACACTTCAGTGTAGCACTTAAAACTGACAAAGAAACAAGGAAAGAAGAGTTGGCAAAGTGGATTTTCTCTTTTTCTTCAGAGGTGATAACTTTTTACAGAAGAATAGGTCAAGAGCACCCTAGCAGGAAACTAGAGAGAAAAACTTAATTCCTACAGCAGTTGTTCCACATTCCAGACATTAAGCTAGAAAATGATTATTAGAGGGGGGATATAAATAACAAAAAAATATAAAAAAGAAATTCCCAAACCTTCTATACAGTCTGAGAAGATCCTTAGGAATGGAATTCGATTTCTCATCTGCTACAATGGCCTAGGTCAAAAGGAAAAATAAGGAAGAAAGAAAGAAACTTTAACAGACTTTTACATTGTTATATATAAATTCATGGAATGGAACAGCAGGGCAGGTACAACGTTATGCCTAAAGCATTAATGACAAACCTTGTTGCTAGTATCCACTATACAGTCTTCAGCCAGGTGTCCAGGTTTACAACATTTCCAACTACAACAAAACAACTTCCTGTAAACATATACTAATCCAGGGAAGCATAGAAGTAGATCCATTACCATGAATGTGAGCAATATAAATGCTCTCATTGTAACTAAGAATGGGGATATTGGTATTTAAAGTTCCTTGAGCATTCCAAGCAATACAATTGGTATTAAAAACAGGTCAATATCAGTGTAGTATCGAAAATGTTATTTGAGTAGATGAGCAGATAATTATAAATGACTTCTTGTTAATTAGTATTATCCTGCTATGCCAAATGGTCAACCAGAGGAGATCATTTTGACATTAAAGGATGGGATGTTTGAAGCAGAAATATACCATTCATAAGTACAAAGGCTTGATCTTGTTTTTGACCAGTGATGCCGGTTATAATCCCATGTACTCTCACCAAAGACAGACGCTACTAAACCATAATCAAGTCTGGATGAAGAGAAATCTTGAACTTGGTCATGAGAGGAGCCCTGAGATCAGCATGAATTAAAAAGAGAAGATTTAGAAAGCAGAGCATGTGGAACTCTTGTTACAAATATCTGACAATAAAAGCACCTCATTGAGTTGAAGAATTTCCAAGAGTTCCTTTTTGCACTCCATACTACAAATGTCATCATCTGTCTATCAAAGCACATAAATATAAATATTGAAAGGACCAGTCATTGCACAAAGCGCAAAATGTATGGTATTAGCTATCATCAGTACAAATATCACATAGCTCACCTCATTGCATATGTATTCTCCATATCTACCACATATGAGGCAAACTGGTTCTCCAGGAAGAGGAAATCGTTGTTCATTTCTGCTTTTGACTCCGTCAAATTCTTTCAAGTTGCCTGAGTAATGCCACAATTCAAATAAGACATTTAGGACACTATGATACTAACATAGAAATAAAAATAAGATGTCTAACGAAAACTTGTAATTATGCATATCAAGAAACAAACCAGAAGTTGGAAGATCCTGCTTTTGTTCGCATTCTGAAGGAAGGCTTTCATCACCTGAGCATCCATGAAGATAATGAAAGGTTAACAAAAACATGGCTAACTGCTAGAATTTTCTTTAAATTTTTCCAAAGAATCAAGCATGGTTGATTAGCTAACCAATCATGGACAAATCAACACACAAGGAGTAACACTATAACAATGCATGCCTTCAGCAGAATAAAATAGTATATTTTATTCTGAAGGAAGGCAGAATAAAGATCAATGGCCGTTAAGTGTTGAAGGAATCCAATGAATCCAAAATATGATTTCCTAGTTTCCAATTTACTTCATTTAAACGAGAAACAAATTAACAATAAGTTGAAGCTTGAGGAGAAAGGCTGAAAGCTAAACCCAATGAAGAACAGGATGCAAAACTGAATATGAACAAAAGTAGTGTATTTCATCTCAATCACTACATATATACACTACCTATCTTAACCGCACAGCACATTCTGGGGAATTCACACGCTTTACCCAACTTCTAATTTCGTTCTCTTTGCATCTAACTAACATAACTACCCTCATCTTGCAACAGTATATCAGTGATGTAAAATGTTTCATAAACTTACTAGTATAATCCACCAAGCTTATGACCGAATTAGGGTTACCCTGCTACAGAGAAACCAAAACATCAAAAACAGGAGATGAGAGAGAAAGAGTAGCTTGAAAGATATCAGACAAGCCCCACTAACTGAATTACCAGAACATCTTCAGTCAATTTTTCGTAAGGCTGAGACGAACTGACTTCTTTCCTGGTCAAGAACAAATAAATGAATTCCCCAAGTAGAAAGAATCAAAGAAGTTCATAGACCATGAAGTGGAAAAAGACTGCACTGGATGTGGCTATAAATATCAAATTTGAAACTAATAATGGAGCAAAAGATAAGAATAGATGCCTTCTTTTTTCAATGTAATCGTGATGTGACATAGAGATGTCATTCTCTTCAGTGTCAGCTTCAAGGGTTTGCGGTGGGCTCTGCTTCCGGCGACGTTTCTGGGTGGGCTTTTCCTCCTCTGATTCGGAGGGAACATTGCCAGTAGCGATGTTGTAAGCTGCAAATTGCGAAAACCAGATGCCTGACTCTGAGCTAAATTGAATATAAAATGATTAAAAGCAAAAAATTGAAGCGAAGCATGACCTCTGAGGTTCTGAAGAACAGAGGAAAGACTAAAGTGTTTTTTGTAGGAGATAGATGGGTTCTTGTAGAAATTGGTTCTCGTTCCCATCCTCCCACTCTATCTGCGTCGGTCTTTCAATATGCCGAACTTCACAGCCAACTGATTTTCGATCAACGAGAGAGAAAGAAACCGGTGAAGTATCTGATTATGCCGCGAACAACAATAACAATAATATGCTGCAATCGTAACCAATCAATATGACAATATGGGAATTAGCGAATTCACAATGTGCGCAAAGTACGTCGAAGGCAAATCCAAGTGCGCTTTCCCATTCTATCACATTACAGGTAATAATATTCATACCTTCAAGTCTTCAACTATTCAGGCATCGACATTCTCCGGGGAAAATGATAATTGAATATCAACGAGATATACAAATAACAATAGAGTTATGATTTTATTTTGAAAATTTACAGATGACTTTAAATATAATTTAAAATTAATTTTATCTCTCAATTTTAAAATTTTAATCCCTCTATATCCCTCATATTAATTATGCATTATTGGAGCCACATGAATATTTTAAATATTTTTTAATAATGAAATATAATAGTGAGACACATTTAATATTTTTTTTATTTTTTTAAGTTAAGGGTTTAAAATGCTTTTCAAGCAAGTAGAAAGAGTCAGGGTTGCCCTTGAAATCAATAAAGGGTCATTTATATATATCAACCGTTAAGAATTTCAATTACATAACCCTACCTTCATTTTTTTAATATTTTTTTTGTAATTTTTTAAAAAAATGCACCTCTCTCTTCTCCCTCTCTCCTCTCTCTCTCCCCTTCATTCCCTCTCTTGGTTGCTCATTCCTAGATTGAAGGTCTCTTGTTTGCTCATTCCTAGATTGAAGGAAGTGGAGTAGCAATGATAGAGCACCCAGCACGTTGATTGCTATCTTGTTATCATCATGAATGATTAAGCTGAAGAGTACACTAGAAGCAAATTCCTATTTTTTTATTTTTTTTTAAGTTAAGGGTTTAAAATGCCTTTCAAGCAAGTAGAAAGAGTCAGGGTTGCCCTTGAAATTAATAAAGGGTCATTTATATATATCAACCGTTAAGAATTTCAATTACATAACCCTACCTTCATTTTTTTAATATTTTTTATAATTTTTTTAAAAAATGCACCTATCTCTTCTCCCTCTCTCTTCTCTCTCTCTCTCCCCTTCATTCCCTCTCTTGGTTGCTCGTTCCTAGATTGAAGGTCTCTTGTTTGCTTGTTCCTAGATTGAACGAAGTGGAGTAGCAATGATAGAGCACCCAGTACGTTAATTGCTATCTTGTTATCATCATGAATGGTTAAGTTGAAGAGTACACTAGAAGCACATTCCTACAATGATTGGTGGAGTTCTTGCACCATTTAGCAATGGCATATTTAAGGGCAGGGTTAGGAATTATGATAGAAAAATTGGGCTTGGAACCATTGGAGAGCTGTGGCATGAAGTTTAAATTTTTACAAGCCTAAACAAAAACTTGCTAGGAGATGAAGCTTGAGCCCTAAGGAGATCTATTAAAAATATAAAAAGAAATGGTGGGACTCATTAAAATATTAAAAAATTTAAATGTAGGTTTCACTAAAGGTGAAATTTGATGAAATAGAAGGCAGGGAGATGAAATTGAAATCCTAACAATTGAAGGATATAAATGATCATTTTTTGATTTTAGGGGTAATATTGAACCCTGAAATTTGTTGTGTCGATGGAGGCCAAACATTGAAATTTTTTGTTAGAGAACTTCCTGTATTCAACTGATGAGTGTAACTTTATCTTAAATCGAGTCATACAAGTTAAAAAAAAAAGCAAGATTTTATAAAATTCACCTTATATTTGAATATGCTTTTTGCATATTTGGAAAAACATATTCTTAATGTCAAAATTTTACATGAAATGCACCTTATATTTGAATATGCTTTTTGTATATTTTGAAAATTGTCTCGTATTTAATGAAAACAATTATCGATATTTTGAAAATGCAAATGAACATTATGAATATTTTTTCATTTTTTTCATGAAAACACCTATAAATGTTTTGAAAGCACAAATAGAAACACTTATTGATTTTTTTTATTTTTCGTGAAATCACCTATGGTTACTGTTGTTATATGTAAAGCTTAATTACACCAATTTAAATCATCAAGAAAAATAATTGAACACTTACAAATTTATTTATTTTCAAACAATAATATGTTTTTACATCCCTTAATAGCATAACTACATCACAACAAGATAATATATGATAATTACATTGCAACAAGATAATGCATAAGTGAGGTAGTGTTCATAGCTACTCTATTTTCTTTCTCTCCTTCCTCGCTGCTTCTTCCTTTGACTTTTGCTGATTTAGTTCGCAATCTTGCTTGTATAATTTATCAAAAGTTGGGCATTGCTTGTGTTCCTTCTTCCATATTTGATATTTGATGCTTATCTTTATCGTTAGATTTAGTTTTCCAACAATCATCCTGAACAAAAGAGTTCTCAACTTCTTTGGCTTCGCTACTTCCAAATTTCCAAGCACTCCAATTAGTTTTTGACTTTTTTGGTTCCTGCAAATGAAGACAAATTAATTGAAAATGCAAGAGCTTATGAAAGAATGTTGCCTATTTATAAAAGAGTTTGTATTTTAACTTAAAACGTCTCTAGAAAAAACATGTGATTCACTTACAAACAAAATGTTAAATCTTCTAAGTCTCTTAATCTGATTAGAGCTTGCCTTCTTTTGTCACAAGGCAAAGACCTATTATCGAATCCCTTAATGCATGACTAATTTGGATTAAGGGTACTTCTGTTGGGCCCAAACTGATTTAATCCCCCCATATGAACACAGTTACTTATCAGAACCAATAACTTCTTTAAATATTGACTGCTGCTTGGTTGCTTCAGAAACAGTATGCTACAGATTATCATCAACACTACCCTTTTTTTCTCTGTTGAATTAACAAAAGGAATTCTAGTAGCAACTATTGTTCCTCTATTTTTTCTTCAAGTTCTATTGCTGCTTCACTCACGTTCTGCCATTTCATCTCTCTGTTCATTACGGAACTCACTCGGCAACAACTCTTTGCTACAAAAGAAAGCAAATGTAACAAAAAGGTTCTTTACTTTAGGTTTATCACAGAACTAGAAATGTTTGATCAGTAAGGATCTTAATTCTTGGAAATAATATCGTGGAGTCTAGAGTCCAGGAATAGACTACCCCTAAAGCTTGGGGCATAGACAAACCTAGAGCTTACAGTCAGATTTTTTGATAGGTCCACTGAATTGAAGGGGATTTGATATATGTCAAGGAAGCCATTATCCCAAAAGTCTAAGGGGTCGATATACAATCAAGCACAGGTCCAACAAAATCTTGTGCTAAACAAAAGGAAGTCAAAAGGTCTATAAATGCTACTAATAGCTAAATTTAGTCCAAGTTATCTTTTAAAATTTATAAATTAGCCAGCAAGTAACACATATGAACATAGGTTAATTCTTAATCATTCACAGCACCCTTGAGTGCCTTCTACACCTTCTCCAACTTCCCTGCTATCTTTATCTCCTCCTTACATGCACTTAGAAATTCCTCCCTCACTGTCCCACTCAGAGATACCTCAAATTCTTGATTTAGAAAAGCAATTTTCATATTTGGTTTGGTTTTCATTTCATCATGCCTTTGTAACAAATAAATAGCAATGCAGACATATACATGTACGTTGGGTTGGGGCTGCTCTTCACCATCTTCTTCCTATACTTTCTAAACTTGTACCCATCGTCCATAATCTCTACCTTTCACTTTGTTTGGAATGCAACTCTATCTTTGATGTTCCTTTCCCTGCTACTACTAATGTCTCCTAAAACACATGACCAGACATCATAATAAGCACGCTAATAATTAAAACTAGAGTGAAGTTTTTTTTGGATCCAACCTCAATCTCCACCGAATTATGGGAGTAGAAAAAGCTCTAAGGTTCGAACCAAGATAGAAGCTTGTCATTCTTCACTCGCTTTCCCATCATCTTTAAAATCAAGACCTTTACACTCAGACTCACAACCACTTATCGCCGCCATTGGAATCACGAGTTGTTTCCTAGAACAATGTCAATGACGCTGCAGAGGGGAGTGGGAGAGGGGAGGGAGGGAGGGAGAGAGTATTGGATGAGGATAATTTTATCATTTTCACCTCTAAAGTAATGATATCGAAGGATGTCATTTGAGAAACTTTTCCAAGTCCTTTTAGGCGAATCAATATTTGGTAGAGTTTTTTCTAACAATTTTGTCATTATAATATTGCTCTCGTCCTATTTAGTTATATAGCAGGGAGAGTATTTGTTGTGATTCTATTTATTAGACACAACAATGATTATTTCGTTCAATGATTATTTCGTTCAAAAAAAAAAAAGACACAGCAATGATTATTGTGTCTACTTTTATATTTTTTCGTTTAATAAATTTTGAAAAAATTATTAGATGGTAAAGTATTTTATTTTTAAAATATGTATATTTAATAAAAGTAAAGTTCAAAATTTGTTAAAATTCTAGGTGCAGTTAATAAAGTTTAAACTTTTTCTTGATCCCAATAAAAATATTAAAAGTTATTTATAAATAAGATAAAAAAATAATATTAGATTAAAACACAAATTTTGACCATATCCAATTATGATGCAAATGTAACAGTCTCTTATCTTAACAGTTCCCTGGGGGATATACCATAATGACGTCCTCATTCATTGCATAGGAAAAATACCCTATCTAAATACTTCAAAGATAATTTGTTAAAAATATTAATATCTTGAAGACAATTTTTCAAAAACCATATGCATTAGCTGGTTTTCTCGTTTAGTATTTTTGTAGGAAAAAGGCACTGCACATTTATAAAAAATGGAAAAAAAATATTTGGCTGTTCAATTATGTTGCAAAATAATAAAAACGTAGCTTAACATAAATTAAAAATTTTAAATGTTCCGATAAAGACATTTAAACAATAATATAGTATTTATCAGCCAAATTAGTCAAGAGGCTTTTTATCATCATCTAGAATTTTTTATTTCATCATCTAGAATTTTTTATTTCTCTCCAATTGATTTGTTGGTATCAATATTGTTCACTTTTTTATTAAATAAGGGAGGTTATAAGATCAAACTTTAGGAATGTGTTGTGTCAAACCTTTAAAAATTCAATCATTGAAAAGGTATGTAATAGTATAATGCCATATATCCTCGTCTAAATAAATGAGCTTGAGAGAATCTCACTTTTCACTCTACCAAAACACTTGAGAGGTTATCCTCGATAAAAGGGAGGGCAAATACTTATAAACAGAGAACACTCCCCTTCATCATAAGTTTAAAATTAATATGTGATATTAATTATTTAAATATTCAATTATGAAGCAGTTAAAAAATTTTGAGTTAAAAAAAGGCTTTGTTACCCACATATTTATAATATTCTTAAGTTAATAATAATAAATGTGTATCTATTAATTTTATTAAAGAGGTTAATCTATAAACTAGCGTGACATTATAAAATTTAATGGGTTGAAAAAGATTGATTTTTTTTTTTAAATAAAACTAATAGGTATTGGATAATGGTTGCCTTATAAGTACAGAAGCTTTTCAAAAAAAAAAAAATATATATATATATAAAGTATTTTTACATTTTTTAATTTTTTAAAAATAATAAATTAATAATAATGAAAGCGTGAGCTTGAGCTAACACCTTTGAAGCCGTTGAAAAAGCAAGCCGTCATTTTTATTTTCCATCGTCAAGCAAAGAACGGGCATCTTGGAGTTATTGATCAAAATCGCTGCTCAACTATTTGGTCGTCTTCACGAGGTTGTGTTGTTGATCGTTATCGTATTATTGATTTCTTAATTTGTGAAAAGCTGAGTTTTTGCGGGTTTGTTCATTTCTTTTTCGACATAGCCCTCCCATCTTTCTCGGCTGTTCCAGAGTAAATTCTCTGCAAAATCTCAGTCACTTGAGGTTTCCCCATTGTCCTTAACGATTTTTTGCTCTTGAATTTTATCTTCGATTTGAGAAAAGATGAATCTGTTTATACTGGATAGCACTCCGGGCCCTCTTTGTTCCCTGACGAACACTAGGCTTTGATGTTTCTTTTTTACCTTTTTCTTGTTTGTGTTTAATTACGAGTAATTTTGTTCTGGATCATATTAGGAAATTTTTGTAATCAAGCGTTTTTTTTTTTTTTTATATTTACCCCTTGCTCCTGGACAACAGAATTTGTCTTTTTCTTAATCCATAAAAGATCGTGCTTTTTTATTTTTATTTTCCACCTTTTTTGGTTCTTTTGAGTGACAGAGGACTTTGTTAATTGCATGTCCTTTGTCGGACGATGAAGATGAAGATGAAGATTTTGTTTGTGCTTGGAATTGACTGAATTTTGTTGCCTTTTAGGAGGAATGGCTAAGAGTTACTTCAAACAAGAGCATGATCTGGGTATACACTGTGAAATCTACTCGTTCTTCCTTCGTTTTTCTGATTTCTAAGCTGAGAAATAAGAAAATAAATTGTTTGTTTTTCCTACAGAGAAGAGAAGAACTGAGGCTGCTAGGATTAGGGAAAAATACCCGGACAGGATCCCAGTGAGAACTTGTACTCATTTTTCATTTGCTGTTATATGCTGCTAGTGTCATTTGTCTTCTTTTTCGACTGAGTCAAAATTCTAATTGTGGTAGAAGCGTAGTTTTTCTTCTATCTTTTTTACCAACTGAGTCAATACGTATACGGCTTTTAATACAAAATTTGCACGACACAATTTATATCATGGTGGGAGTAATCTAGACAACAATACAATTATAGAAGCATATATTGGTTTAGCTAAAAATTGCGTTTAAAACTTGCATGTTGTCTCCAAATCTCCCTTTTTTTATTTTTTTTTATTTTCTTGTTCAAATTAGGATTCTTGATCCTTTATCTTCATTGAAGAGCTCGTATAGCAATCTTTGATGAAGAGAAACTTAGTTGACCGTGAACAATGCATATAAGACACTGTATTTGATCTTCATGATATATCATCCTCCATTGTTCACTCTATTCTCTCAGAAATTAACTTAACTGTATATTTTCTATTTTTAGCATCGTGATAAATATTAAACATCTCTTGATTCATGATTGCTATTATCAAAATTTTTCCCAAGCACCCTCCTTTTCTTATTTTTCTTATTTCCAGATGTATATACATTCCCATTTATGGATGCTATCTTTCTATCTAAACAGATTAATATTTCTGATCAAAATGGTCTGTAAAGTGTAACATATTTTTAACATAACTATACTTATAATGTACATTTGATTTCTTTATAGCTAATATTTATACCTATTTGTTGAATTATCTTTATGAGAAAAGCATCCTTTGTTGCTCTTGCTGTTCTTGAGATGTATACTACTGGCATTACATTTCTGTTTTTATGTTAATTTGTCTCTGGATATGCCTGAAGGTGATTGTAGAGAAGGCTGAGAGGAGTGATATCCCCGGTATTGACAAGAAGAAGTAAGATTATCTAACATGTAGATTATTCTTCGATTATTTTTTTTCTCATGCTTGTATTCTTATCGCACTTATATGTTCCAAATGGAAAAGAACATATTATGGTGAATTTGATGTTATCTCTGTTAAACCTCGATAGAATATATACTTCTTGCCTTGTAGCATCTTAAATGGCTGTGATAATAATATCTTTAGTTTGTAGCAACAGATAAATAAAGATGTGTTTGGAATATAGCATGATAGGCTGCTTACAATAATTGAAGGATTTTTTGACTTCAGTAAGTGGTTCTGATTTTTCTTAGGTGTGAACCATCGAGTGTTTAAGCGCTTAACCATCTGATCATGTTGAGATTGGCATGAACATCTCAAAGTTGTAATAAATAATATTTTATAACCATACATGTACCTTGAGATGCAGTCAGACTGAAGAGCTTGAACTCTTCACATCACTTCACTTCTTTTCTTGATGAATCCCGATTACTCTGATCCTCAATATAGATGATTTTCTTTTATGATTAATTTGGCTTGGGTTGATATTCAACCTCAACACATTGCTGCCTCCATGGAACTTCTGAATGAATATTTGATGACTTTTTATGCATCTGCATTTGATTCTTCCAATGCTTGATTATAGGATGCTTGCTGCATCTTTTATGTCATCAAACTGAATGAATAAATTGCAGATATCTTGTCCCTGCTGACCTGACCGTTGGACAGTTTGTGTATGTTATCCGCAAAAGGATTAAATTAAGTGCAGAGAAGGCTATCTTCATATTTGTGGACAATGTCCTTCCACCTACAGGTTAATCTTTGTTGAACCATATAGCTGTCTAATTTTTTTATGAGGTGGACCCTGTGCATTACACAAAGTTCATGGTTTGTGGATTACTTCCGGTATACTCCCCCTGGTCCAAATTGTTAGACTCTTTTTTCGCAGCTAAGAATTATCTTTTCAAAATTTACCCTTGTATTAATTATTGTGCGCATGGGAAATATAATCTAACCAAACACTTCTTCTTGTTAGAGTTCTACATTAATTACAAATTGAGAATTGTCACTTGCACCGAAATAGCTTAAGCTACTTTAAAAGGACCCACCAAACACATATAGTTGTGATTAAGGCCTTGTTTAAAATTGTTTTTGTTTTATTGTTTTGAGAACTGATATTTGGAGGGGAAAAAAAAATAATGAAAACAGGTATTTTTAGCATTATCCCTTATTCGCCAAAACTATAATTCCAAAACACCTAAAAGATATTTTTGCTTTTCTGTTTTTTAGAGCAATATTTGGTTTTTTTTTTTTCCAAAACACTTTCTGAGAACATGTTACCAAACATTTTTTTTTTATTTTATTCTGGAGAATAGAAAACTGTATCTAGAATAAGTTGCAAACAAGCCCTAATCCTCTAATTACTTAACATAGGATTGGATTATCATACATCTAATAACATTAATCACAAACTAAGGTTTGTGACTTACACCAAGATAGCTTACTTTGGAAGGACTTACATACACTTGTATAGTTATGATCAATTTTTGAGTTACTCAATGAGGAACTAATCATACGTCTAATAGCATTAATCACAAGCTAAGGCTTGTCACTTACACCAAAATAGCTTAAGCTACTTTAGAAGGACTTCCACACACTTATATAGCTGTGATTAATTCTCTAATTACTTGATATATATATATATATATAGGACCATCATACATCTAATACTTCTCACTCTTTGTAATAAAAGGGTTAAGGGTAAAAGGGAAAAGGCATGTCATTTTTTCATGAAAGTAAGGAAATAACTATTTTTATTGGTATGCAAAGTTTGGTTGAATGTGTTCTTACAATTTGGACTTGGGGGAGTATTTTTATATTTCATGTTGATTTATATTGTTGATAGAGAATCGAATTGTTTTGATGCTCAACTATGCAGGTGCAATTATGTCTGCAATATACGAGGAGAAGAAGGATGAGGATGGATTCCTTTATGTTACATACAGTGGCGAAAACACCTTTGGGAATGTGACCTCTCTCGTCCAGTAGCCTGCTATCTTAAACTGCATGATAATCCAATTGCTTTCATTGGCTCCTGATAATCATAGTCCCATCATCGTATTCATCTTATCAAGAACACTGCTTTGAATGTCATGTACAGTTATGCATATAAATACCAATGGCCTACTTGATGTTGAAAATGTTCCCTTTTCAGTCTTCGGAATTCTAATAAGCCTTGCTATTCATGAATCATAAATAATACAATTTATTTCTTAAGACTCTTTCACTATGCATCAGAAGGGACTCGTAGTAGTTAGTTCTTAGTCGCATATGTGAGATATTATAATATACTCCTAGTTCTATTTATATTTTACCAGGAAATCCTTAAAAGACCTGTTAAGTTTCTGAATTTGTTCCTACTAAATATACTCTCTTCAGTTTTTATTATATGGTCCTTTTTAGAAGAATTTTTTGGTCATTATTTTAAGGCATTTGATATGCATTAATTACATTTTTTTAAATATTGTCTCTATTTAAATTCATTAGCTATGAGGCATAATGTAATGCGAATTTGGAAAAAATAATATTTAAATAGGGCTAAAATGGGAAGTTTATTTTATTTTTAGATAGTTAATAATTTAATCATCTTTGTTTGGTTCTAGTGAGGTAATTATAAGTACTTTATAATAGATATCAAAGGAGGTGCATACTTTAATAACATTTTTTATCACTAATATTTAATAGGGAGTATAAGAAAACTAGTGATAAAAAAATCAGTTGACTAAATTTTTTTTTTTTTTATATCTTATAAAGAGGATAAGATTTGGAGTATAATCTGAAACGAAGATGTGTAAATTTTTTATTGATAATTATACAACTGTCAATGAAGACTGCAAAGCAGCAAGGCTTAGGATTAATGGATTATTATAATACCAGTATTGTAAAATTAGAGAATTTCTCTGCAGAACTATCTAACATTGATCCTAGGGAAGAGGCTAAATGTAAAATATGTCTTTAAAAAAGCTACTTTTATGTGAAGTTGACTCAATTTGATTTGAATTAATCAAAGTTTAATATAACTTCAAATAACAAGTTTTTTTGCTAAAGGAAATTGGCATGAAATAAGATATTCCTTTTCTGATACCAGATAGGGGAAGAATTTATTCTGATGGATATTCGCAAAACACTTCTCTCCATCAAGTAGACGACAAAAATAATCCGTAAATGGAAAACGATATTTATTTAATACTTAAAATTTCAAAGTATGTCCAAACCTTTCAAGGGCCTCAAGGATTAGACTCTGTAAAAAACTTATGAAGAGGGAGTTTATTTTGTATTTACATTCTCTCTTATCCTTTTTTGTTGGGACTGGGAGGAGAGGAAAGATTCTAATAAATTTGATTTTTTTAAAAAATGAATAAATGATATTATAAAATTTTAATAAAAAGAAAATGTAAATTAAAAAGATCAAGAAAAATTAATTAAAATCATTTGATTTTATTTTTTAATCAAAGTCATTAGAATTTTCATTTCCTTCCTCCCCCTTCCATTAATATTAACAGCATAATCAGGTCAATTCATTTAGGTAAACTAGTAAACTGTTAAATCATTGTCTAGATTAACGTAAAAGAAATGTTTGGTTTATGACTATTTTGATATTATTTTAATTATAATTACGTTCATTAATCTATAAACAAATATTTTAATCGATTCAATAATCATTCTGACTAAGAGTTGACCTACCAAGGGCCCCGCCCTCCAACCCAATATTATCTTAAACACACACTTGGATCAAATCAACAAACCACCTTTTGATACCCTCCTCCAGAAACAACCATGGCCCATTTAATCAAAATAACCTACCATATTATAATTTTTACACACACACACACATACACAACTCAAATCCTTTATACAAACTTCTCAACATTTACATGCAGATGAATAAAAATTATTAGATTATTTCATTTCTAAAAAGTATTTTAATATTTCAATTATATCCTAATTAATTAAAGAGAATCTCATCATGCTTTGTTCAAGTTACAAAAGTCTATTAAAATTATATAGGTAAAATATTGAAGCATCATTTGACATTTTGACTGGGCATCTTACAATTTAGACTAACTTTTAGTTTTGGAAAGGACCTTATAGTAGAAGGGACTAGAAAGAGCATAATTATATGATACAAGATCAATATGATAAAGTTAAAAATTTTAAATTAATAATATATTTTTGTTTTAAAATATTTGGCTGCCTTAACTATTAAGGTTGGTTTCGCCCTTGGGTATGATTTTCTTTTGTTTTTAAAACGTCAATCACATATTGATGGCATCACCGAGGGTTTCATTCATTTTTACTGGAATGATCTAAAGTTTAGAATTATTAAACTTACCAAAAGGGTTTTTAGGGACCCCAATTCTATTAGAGAGATTAATGACACATTCATACTTTGATCCCTAAAATTGACTATGTAAGGTCGCATTTACTTAATTACAATTAACTCTACAAATCCAAGGTAATCAAAAGTCTAACCCCAATAAAAATTACCAAGTTTGTAATTTATAAAAATGGAATTCTAAGTTTTTTATAATTTGAAATACTCAAAAATTCATTTAGCAAACTTCTAATGAGATTGAAATAATATTTTAGAAGTATAAAATACCTCATGAAAGTGAAAAGACTCAAAAATAGTTAAAAATAACAAGTTAAGAAAAACAGGGCAATGTACCATGGCTTGTGTACATGCGCCACAGTTGCCCTTTATTTATGCTATGTGTCGTGGCGTGTTGCACACGTCAGACAGTCATTTTTGCTGTTATTTGATAGCAATTTAAGACAACTTTTGACTTGCCCCATTTCTTCGTCTGACGTTCGAATGAGGTGATTTAGATTTTATAGAAAACTCTTTTCATAAACAAGTTAATGGCATGAGTTTTATTTTCAAATTATATCACACAAGGAAGATGGACACCAAAACACATTTTTCCAACTTAACACACTTTTCACAATTCATGAGTATCCAAAGCCCCACACTTGTATCAAAAGCTATTCCAATATCTAAAACACACTCAATGGATTTAAAACTACCTATATAACATATCACATACATATAATTCTAATCATTCTAAACTTTTACTCATCAACCCATTTAACACCATAACTAGAAGGAGGAGATTTTAATATTGCATAATTCAATCATTATTAATTTCAACAATATGATATTAACTACTATACTTGCACTTATATTTTAGCCCTATTAATTAACTCTTTAACAACATACATACAACATTCCAAGGTCTAAAATACATTCTCAAATTCATAAACAATAATATAATGCAAGTGTAAACAAAATGCACCATAATTGGCAATATTTAATCTATTACACAAAATAAAATGAGATTAAAAGGCTATACAGAAGGAATTCTAGATTCCTAGGCTTCGGGAGCATTTTCCCTTCCTACACCGGAGCTGAAGCTTGTAAAATATTGAAAGAGAGGGGTGAGTCTAACTACTCAGTAATCAAGGTACACCAATCCTACGCAGTTATATATCATTGAATTAAACACATAAGAGTGAGTTGCTATTCAAAAATATCCAATTACATGTGACACACATTATAATTTCACAGTTTAACTCGTTTTCATATTTCTTATTTCAAATCACAAAGTATATAGTCACAATACACACAAACATGTGGCAATTACTCAACCCATCAATTTAATGCATATTGCCACAATACAATCAACCATGTGACAATGGCACATTTACTATCATAACTTACCATAAACTTAACAACTATATGACACGTCGAATAAACACATATGTATGATCAATTCTTCCTTATACCCTCCTTATATCTTCTGACTGAAACTGCTATAATATCAATTAAGGCTCCATTTTTGCGATCAGACTATCTAAGCTTACTAATTTTGAGGTGTGACCCGACTAAAGATCACAGAACTCACTCTCAGACCATGGCTTTTTCCATTCTTAAATCTTTAAGGTGTCGTATACCTTAAGCTAGTCTCCTTAATAAATAGGCAGAGATATTTAAGCTCTAGTCTCTTGACAAACTATGGGACAATCACTCAACGAACAGTGAAACAAGGCTATGCTTTTGTGCACTAGAAGGTAGTCATGAAGTACCATATGAATCTTCTACTCCTCTTCCTAGGTGAACTCTCGTCAGATGATCATGCAATATTTTATGCTCACTTATTTCACAATTAAATTTACTTGACATCAACACATTGGGTTTAGTATATCATGCTACCCAAATGAGCATTAATATTGTTTTCACAAACATTTTTCACTTTACTCAGTCATCAATTTATTTACTAACATTTAATTATCACATCACATATCATCACACTTCTCATTCCAATATATATTCATAGTTTGAAAATCATTTTGAATCCAATTTCACATTTTAGGTCAAAACAAGACTTATATAATGTCATATGGTTTATGACATGTTTTCACATTCATAATGCAATCATAAATGAAAATAAACATATTTTTATATTAAAACTCAATTAACAAATAACTATACAAGATAGGTTCCACTAGTTATATCAAATCCTTGAGAGGATAAAGGTTTATCCCTCAATATATGCTTTCAAACTTACTTTCCAAGCCTAATATGGTGCGTGAGATGATTAATTTATAATTAATCAAACACACAATCAATCGCATTACAATACATATAATATAACCTCTATTTCTACCATCTCTAAAATATCTAAAGCCCTTGTTCCTCACATTTAAGTTTACCTATTAGGTTTAATGGCTTCTATCAATCTCAATTAACAATCATCAAACTTATATCGGTTCATTAATGTCACAATAGCCCTCATAACTCCAATTTATTACCCATTTTAGGTATTAAAGATCCCAATCACTATTGATGTGTGAACCCATAATTTCTAGGTTTAAATACTCAAATCAACTTCTATTAACTCCATTTGAGTCAATAGACTCAAAACTATAACCTATATAGACTGAAAATCAACTCTTAAACATAAACCCTAATCATAAATTCAAGAAAATGGGTTAGGAAGGAAGGAGAAAAAGTTAAAAGACTTACTCTTAAAGTTTGGTAACTTCAAAATGCCTCTAACCTTCTTGAAATTGAAGGCCTAGTAGAGCTCTAAGCCTTTTCCTTCTCCTTCCTCATTTTCCCTCTACTTTTCTCTGTTTTTCATATCAGTTTCACATCTTAATTCTACAAGAAGTGTATTGCGTTCTGGTGAACTTGTGTGCTACGGCATGCCATG